ATGGGATCGTACCAGAACGGCATGACCATGCCTTTGGACATGGACGACTCGCTCAATATGATGCCAACTGATATGAACATGTTTCCCGGTAACCAGTTCAACACTCCCATGTTAGATTCTCCCCTCAACCAGGACTTTGTTGGGCCCATGCCTGCCGCCCCCCAAGGGAATAACACGCCATCAGGACAAGCCCAGGACCAGTTCAAACGGCCTTCATTGAACAACACGCCCGAAGTCAAATCAGCGAGATCTAGCTTTCTCAGCCGTACCACTAGCCAGGACCAGTCCAGCATGCGTTCTACTTCCCGGCCCCAGAGTGAACATCGCTCTTCCAACAATGTCCCGACACGCATGACTTTGGCCTCACTACAGAATCAACAACCTATCGGACAAGATCCTGCACAAGACCTACCCAAAGAAGTCATGAACAGGCAACTGCAAGATTTTAAAGTCCCATGGCAGCAGCCTGCAGGCGGATTTCCGTCTACGATGCATCAAAATCCTCACATGAAGACGCAGTTCAAGAATGCTTACTCGTCGACAGGATTCGACATGCTCGGAGTACTAGTACGATCCTGGATCACTTTCCCTGAATGCTAATTACTAACATGCGGATAGATGCGCGTAGCGACCAGACCCGACCCCCAGATCGACATCGGCTCTGTCGATCTTTCGTGCGCTTTTGTTGTCTGTGATGCCGAGCTAGACGACATTCCTATTGTTTACTGCTCAGAAAACTTCGAGCGACTCACCGGCTACACAAGACATATGATCCTTGGACGCAATTGCCGCTTCTTGCAGGCACCTGACGGAAAGGTCGAATCTGGAATCAAGCGAAACTACGTTGACGATGATTCGGTCTACTATCTCAAGAACATGATCGAGAGTCGTGCAGAAGCGCAGATCAGCTTGATCAATTACCGAAGAGGCGGTCAACCGTTCATGAACCTTCTGACCATGATTCCCATCGCTTGGGAACCAGGCGGTAAAATGAAGTTTTTTGTCGGTTTCCAGGTTGACGTTGTGGAGCAGCCCGGAGCCATGACTAACAAGAACTCAGGTAGGCCCTTGTATCTAGTAAATATATCCGTGTGTGAACTGATCATGTTATAGATGGTTCTTACCGGGTCAACTACCAGCGCGGGATGTCCATACCGAGTTACGTCTTCAGCGACCACCACAAGCCACAACAAGCCGAACAAGGCCAGACCATCTCCAAGGATGAGGTGTCGAACGTACTCGCTGCGTATAGCGGAAGCGGCGATTCTGAGATGACAAGACGTATCTGGGATAAGGTCCTGCTTGAGAACAGCGACGACGTCGTCCACGTCTTGTCACTCAAAGGACTCTTCTTGTATCTGTCACCAGCCAGTAACAGGATATTAGAATATGACCCTAGCGAGCTCGTCGGAACAGCGCTGTCGTCTGTCTGCCATCCTAGCGACATCGTTCCGGTCACAAGAGAACTGAAGGAGACTACCAATGGCGCATCAGTCAACGTTGTGTTCAGGATACGACGGAAGAAGAGCGGATACATGTGGTTCGAAGGCCATGGCTCCCTCCATACTGAGCAAGGGAAGGGTCGAAAGTGTATCATCCTCGTCGGCCGTGAACGCCCAGTCTATACTCTGAGCAAGGCTATCGTACGCGAGTCTGGCGGCGTCGGTGATAACGAGCTGTGGACGAAGATGTCTACATCAGGCATGTTCTTGTACGTTTCGTCAAACGTGCGCCAGTTGCTCGATAAGCAGCCTGAAGATCTTGTCGGCACTAGCATACAATCTCTCATGCGCCAGGAGTCAAAGATTAACTTCGGTCGGATTTTAGAGCTTGCCAGAGGGGGCAGGAAAGGCGAGGTCAAGCATGAAATGATTAACAAGCGTGGCCAGGTTCTACAGGCTTTTACGACAATATATCCTGGAGATGCAACGGAGGGCCAGAAACCTACCTTCGTCGTTGGGCAAACACGACTCCTCAAGTATTCGCGGAATAGCAATGCCGGCCGCCCATCCATGTATACAAATACCAAGCATGAGCGCGACTCCCACAACTCTATTCATACCCAGATGTCAGGAGCAGCATCGCCTGCCGCGGGGTCTTTGACTGGACCTGCTGGTTCAAACACGCCAATGACGTCCAACACGAATCCACTCTTCATCACTACCGAGGAATCTCCTGCTACATTTGCTGGACACAATGGTCTCCAGCTCGGCCATCAAGATCAAAGTCTAGCCTCAGACGACAACGTATTTGACGAACTGAAGACGACGCGAAGCACAAGCTGGCAATACGAGCTACGACAAATGGAAAAGCGGAATCGATACCTAGCAGAAGAAGTCCAGAGCCTGTTGGCAGCCAAAAAGAAGAGGAAGCGCAGAAAGGGTGCTGGCCAAATGCAGAAAGACTGTGCAAACTGCCACACGAGAACAACGCCCGAGTGGCGCAGGGGTCCTTCAGGGAACCGGGACCTTTGTAATTCGTGCGGACTGCGGTGGGCCAAGCAGGTAAGTTACAATTCTCACTCCTGACAACATCGTTAGAACTAACACGAACTCTCTTCACAGCAAGGGCGAGTATCACCTAGAACATCCTCCGCCGCAAGCGACAAGAGCAAGAAAAGTGCTTCACCGCGCCACTTCTCAACAAGCCACCAGAACCATCAGACTATCCTGCCTCATTCGATACCCGAGACCGGACAACAATCCTCCACCCCTTTGGCAATGGCTCCATCAACTAAACGATCGCCGCAGCAAGGCAGCATCAGCGAGTCTCATGCTACTAAAACAGCGCGCACAGAAGTTGCGGTTTCCCAAGGCTTCATCCCGCCACCAGCGATCGATGAAGTAACGGAGCCAGAATCATGAGCATGATTGGTCGGAGCATCCTCTTCTCTACTACTACTTCACGGTTTTCCTCTTCTGTTTCGTGTCATTCTCCGCTTTGGTCCAACGATACCCCATTACTTATATTCCCTTTAACGAACTTCACATTCGCTTGCCGAGAGCGAATCGTCTTATGGGGGAGTTTTTAGACTCATATCCTCTTCTTTTCTTCTATCACTGTCTGATGCTTTATGATTTGGGGCGACAAGAAATTGGGGTGAGTTTGGCGCGTGTGGTCGATTTTTCTCGGCTGCCAGGTTCATAAATTGGAGGTTAAGAGATGAGGCGCAACATGCACGTAAATGTCTCGGGCATACTCGTTTGGGGGTAATGCGCTGTTGTTATTCTGTTGTATATATCAGCGACAATCGGTCAAGTGTATGGGTTGGTTTGTCAGGATGCGTGGATCGCATGACTGACTCGATCATCTATATATCACATCAGATCAGATCATATCAAATGAATAGTGGACCCGAACTAAGATGATCTGGACGAACTGCAGTAAACCCCAACAATCTCCTTGACCCATCGATCCATTTGTAACTCTTCCCCGCTCTCTTCCCGCTCATTCGCTTGTCTTCGACGCGACGATGTCCAGGAAAGCCTTAATTGTGGCGTAAAGTGGCCTCATTATCGAGACCAAAATCATGCGGCAGTCGTATCACAACATCAACAATCAAACCCAATATCCGGCCCTTCTGTTACGCTTGGTAATATACTTGCACAGATATTGTCTGAAGCGCACAGCTGTTGCGCAACTTGGCGTTGAAGGTGAGATGCGATAAGAAAGGATCAGTAGTCATGATCAAGGTTGTGTCATGGACTCGCCGTCGGCCTTGTCTTGCCTTGCTTCGCTTCTAATCAGACAACCCACGCGTGGGAATGTGGCATGGGCGCGGCGTGTGCTGGAGGCAGCTCTAGAATACGTGATGTGGCGCTAGAATGCTGCATGTTCCACGGAAGCAGAATGAAGAACGTAC